TGGGCCAGTGAGATGGACAGACGTCTTGAGAATAAAATCTGCCACATGAATCTGTATGTTTTCTAATTACGTTACGAGTGAAGTTAATGCAAACGACGTAATTTTGATTCTATTCATATTTATGTTCAACAGATATAACTACATGTTCTGCATACAAAAGATGGATCTGCGCATGGTTATTTTAATATTTATTTTCGTTTAAATCCGTGTAGTCTGTTTCGGACAGAACTGCACACGGCCGCATGTAAATGTTCATATACACTAGTCTAATTATGTTTACATTGTTTTTCAGCTGCCAGCAGCGTCCCAAGGCCTGCTGGTGGCACCAAAGCCGACGCTCCTCCCGTTGTAAACTTACTTACGCCGCTATTCATTACGTAACCTGCGGCATGCATACGGCACAATTCCTTGCGCTGCACTTACCGATTCATTCGCTTCCAGTCCGTAGGCTGTTCCGCTGACGGAGGCAGCTTTAAATCTAGACAAATGAGGTCCTTTCCGGTACGGGAGAACAGATAAGCGAAACGAGAAAGTTAGGCGACACCTCGTCCAAGCAGCGATATAGCCTCTTGTGAATTTAGCGAGCCAGTCATAGAAGCACTCCACACAAGGACCCATTCTTCTTTAAGTCGTAGGGAATACTCTACTAGAACTACATTCTTATTTGAATTATTCTTTTTATAACTTGAATATCCTCCTTCCTGCCCGATAGTCATGCCCGCGCCCCCATCTATTACTTCCCCGGGAGGATACATATCGCATTCTCGTCCGCGCTGCTTTCACTCGTGGAGCCGCGTTCCAATGCAGCTGTCGGTGGCGCTACTTCATAGTCGATTCCGTGGGGAGAGGCCCAGGGCGCGCTGGTCGAGACCCCACGTCCAAGCAGCTCTGTGACACGTTGTCAATTTTCTTTCCTGACATGACATCCGCTAGCACTGAAAGACTTGGCCAGAGGACCCATTCCCTCTGAGGTTGGATAAAATAATGATGACAATTCTTTCTTCTATGCTTTGGATTCTTGTTGAATACGCACTAGACCATCTTCATTTCGCCTGTTAGCTGCTGGAAATTTTAAGGCCCGATGGCAAGGACCCGAGAATCGCAGGTTCGGATCTCGAAGAAAGCTCTGGCCACGTGAGTCAGTCCTGCCTCGACTGATGAGCTCACCGTTGGGGGTCAATCTTTCGTCCTCCAAAGGCTTTTCATTTGGCTCGGTTAAGCTAGGACATTTTGGCTGTTGCATTTCGCAGCTCATTATGGCGAAGACAGGTCCTCCTTTTTGCATTACTGTATGACCAACATCGGAGGATCCATGTGGGCCCAGGCTGGGTAGACCTTCCACTGCCCAGCTGCACCGGAGGGCTGCTGCATCAGTCAATGCCTGTTTGATAAGATTAGATCCCTTGGTTTTGAGTTTAAGATTTGTTAACCCAATGGTGCCGGGTATGACGTTTACATACGTGCTAAGCCCACTGTGAGTACCTATTTGATTGTTTTTATGCATAGATGGCAATACTAAATCACCAATGAGCCAACTATGAGTATTGCCCGTCTCGCCCGTTTACCCGTTTTGATTTACGAAATATTTTACGTTATCTTATTTTGCTGTTACTAATGTTAAAAAACATTATAAAAATTATAATGTTTATGATAAAAATAACACCATCGATTTTCATAGCACTAGTGAAAAATACGTTTTTCCCGCCATTTCAAATCAGATGCTAGCAGAACCATCTATCGGCAGACATTTCACGAAAAACATAGAAAGTGGGCACAGCATTTTCCCCATTTTTTGTTAATTTTCCCCGGCGGCATTGGGTTAAGCTGGCCATTGCTCTCGTGTAAGCTTTGCCTGATGTTAAGATTCGAGAGGTAGGTGAGATACTTCTAATTCTCCTCCTCGTTCTCATCTTTCTCTTCCTCTCCTTCCTCTTCCTCTTCTCCTACTACTACTACTACTACTACTACTACTACTACTACTACACCAACAACAGCAACTACTGCCACCACCACCGCTAATACCACCATTACCAATGATGATTATAATGATGTCAACAGTAATTATGATGATACTAGCTGACCAGCCCATTCTTTACTCTCTCGCACAGGCGGAAGCCCACGGAACACTGAAGTCTTGAAAAAGCTGCCCACCAGCAGAAGCAGAAGGAAGTCGAGCAGGGAAGCAGGTAGCAGACCGCCTGATTTCCCGCAAAAAAAAAAAACAGAGCTTTTCGAGAGTCTCCGTTCCACCCCTCTTCCGCCATGGCAGCAGCAGATGTAGCCCTGTCGCTAGTGAAGCTCCTGGGGGCGTTAATAGTCTCCCTCTACTACATTTTGGAGGCCCTGGTAGTGGGCATAATACCCCGGGCGTTCATGCGAAAGAGCGTGGAGGGCGACGTGGCCCTGGTGACCGGCGGCGGGTCGGGCATCGGGCGCCTCCTGTGTCTTAAGCTAGCCGCACGCGGAGCCAAGGTCGTCACCTGGGACGTCAACGCCACCGGTGAGTGCCTGTGCGCTTCCTTACACTTGGTATTTACTGTTGTTATCCAACCTCTCTTCTCCTTTCCTGAATTTCTCACTAGCAGTTCATTGTCTCTTGCTTTGTTATTGCTATTAATATGATATCGGTTGTCAGCGCCCCCCTCTCTACATATAGATCTGAGTGTGTGTGTGTGTTTGTGTGTGTGCGTGCATATATATGTATATGTATGTGTATACATACACACACACACACACACACACACACACACACACACACACACACACACACTCTCTCTCTCTCTCTCTCTCTCTCTCTCTCTCTCTCTCTCTCTCTCTCTCTCTCTCCCCCCCCCCTCTCTCTCTCTCTCTCTCTCTCCTCTCTCTCTCTCTCTCTCTCTCTCTCTCTCTCTCTCTCTCTCTCTCTCTCTCTCCCCTCCCTCCTCCCTCCTCTCTCTCTCTCTCTCTCTCTCTCTCTCTCTCTCTCTCTCTCTCTCTCCCTTTTTTTCTCTATCTCCCTAATTCTCTGTCTCCCTATTTCTCTCTCTCTCTCTCTCTCTCTCTCTCTCTCTCTCTCTCTCTCTCTCTCTCTCTCTCTCTCTCTCTCTCTCTCTCAAACACACACACACACACACACACTTTCTCTCTCTCTCTGTAACAGGCTCAGAACCTTAGTACAATGGCTATGGCTGGTTGGGCAATGATAGTAGTAGAACGGCTTGACTCTTATTCAAGAAGAGTACAACACAGTAAAGGGAACACACGAGTAGTATGTAAGTCCTGAAGTAAGTGCTGAGCGCGGTGTCGCGTGTCTGGTCGGCCAGCCATGGGGGTCATCCTCGGGCACAAGCAGTGAGCGTCCACCGGAAACGTGGCGTGGGGCAGCAACTGCAACTGTTTAATGACTTACCATATTGCTTGGCCACCTCGAGGCGCCTTAGATTGACCTCATGGGGTGACCCAACTTGGCTGGTCATCTCGTTCTCGCGTGCGTTGCCCTTGATCCATCTTTGTGCCTGCTCGTCCTTGTTGTCATCTTCTTCCTGGTCCTTGGTGAATCCAGCCGTCCTCGACGTCCACACGTCCTCGTAACCTTCGTCTGGATCTACGGGCGTCCGGGCAGGCGGCGTCCTCATCGGCATCATAGGGCGGCCGATATCTGCGCTGACAAGCTCCTGGAGCTTAACTTGACCTGCGGGGATTCAAGCAAGCGGCGTCCTTCCACAACATCCTGGGACAACTGGTACCTGGATTGACGAGTTCCTGGCCCTTTGCTGGATCTACGGGCGTCGGCAGGTGGCGCCCTTCCACTACATCCTCAAGCGGCTTATTGTCTACACTGATGAACGTCCTGGTCATAGGGCGGCCGATATCTGCGCTGACAAGCTCCTGGAGCTTAACTTGACCTGCAGGGATTCAAGCAAGCGGCGTCCTTCCACAACATCCTGGGACAACTGGTACCTGGATTGACGAGTTCCTGGCCCTTTGCTGGATCTACGGGCGTCGGCAGGTGGCGCCCTTCCACTACATCCTCAAGCGGCTTATTGTCTACACTGATGAACGTCCTGGTCATAGGGCGGCCAATATCTGCGCTGACAAGCTCCTGGAGCTTAACTTGACCTGCGGGGATTCAAGCAAGCGGCGTCCTTCCACAACATCCTGGGACAACTGGTACCTGGATTGACGAGTTCCTGGCCCTTTGCTGGATCTACGGGCGTCGGCAGGTGGCGCCCTTCCACTACATCCTCAAGCGGCTTATTGTCTACACTGATGAACGCCCTGGTTCGCAGGCCTGTGTCGATCTTCCGGTGACGTCCTTTCCACAGATGACCGTTGTGCAGCAGATCATACACGTAAGGGCCAAGATAGCAAGAGGAAAAGAAATGCAATAGAAAGGAGGGGGTGTTAAGTGCTAATAGCCAGTTATTTACATGAATATTCAGCTTCAAATGTTCGTTTTTACCATATTTTATTTTTTCGTCTTGTGCTTTACTTCCACAAAGGTAAAGAAGAAAATATGAGAGGGAGACGTCAGTAATAATCTGCAGGGACTTGGCTTGAACTACCAACCATATCTGATAGATATGAGAGTAGATAAGGGAAACGACAAGGATTTACTTGAACCGAACCAGTTGTCATCACACAGAGAAGAAATGTATGTCATCTTGTACTAGTCACTCGTCATGACTGGCAGAATCGCAGGCAAAAGAGATACATCATAGATCTTTACGCCTATAACTACGACAGTAACAAACCTTATTAATGAAAAGGTTCCAATGTCTTTTGTTCTGCGTGGATGAGTGAGTGAGTGTGTACATGTGTGTGAGCGGCAGTGAGCGTGAATGAGAATGAGGGTGAGCTCACACAAAGAATGTATCACAAACACGAAGATCAGTGGTCGTTTTACAATACTGCGATAAATTAGCAATACTATTAATACAAAATTATTTCAACTACCACATTGAATTCAACATTTAGTGATATGCGACAGAATGTACACTGATGAACGGTGACGTGAAAAATTATTCGCAGGCTTTCTCGCAAACAAATCTTCCCGGGTCAGAAATGTACTACGCAATTCATGATTCAGTTTAATCTACTTTTTGGATTCGCCACAAAAGTGCCGAGGCAGCCATTGTCCAGTTATGCATGTCAGGCTACGTAAGACTTCATTGACGGGGGGTTCCTATACCCAAAATGCCGAATTGAAATGAACTGAACGAGCCGGGAAATTCTGTAATTAACCCGTTCTACTCTGTGTATCTGTGATTGGCGTTCGTGACATTCCCTACGGGATCACTTGGGATTTACCCAAAACATGTGACTTATAGTGGGCGAGAAAGAACGCGATTAATAAGTGAATGACGATTCTAGCTTAAACCCAAGTCCTACATTAATGAATGGACATACTGTGGGTCGCCGATTCCAATAAAAGTTGCTAACCGAACGAATAACTTCGTTTTTACTTGTACCTACTATCGTAACGTCGGAGAATAGACCTATAAGGCGATTTACGGAACCCCAAGTTATATTAGGCATCCCTGTGCACTGTGATATGGGGAAGGTTTAACGATATACTCAAAATAATAAATTTATGCAAAATTCAAGTTACAAGATCTGCTCTAGCCCTGATAGAACGTGTCACTATTAAGCAGTGCAACAAAGCTGCACGTATTTCTATGGTGTAAACAATTACAAACAACCCATTAACGGAAACAGTAAACTGTCTCTCAAACCATATCAACCTGCCGACCGGCCGGAAGTGAAAGAAAGCGTGGTCAGGTCAAGATGGGAAACACGCTATGAGAATAGAAATAAATGATATGATATTCTTGAAAAAGACAAAATCACGAACGCGCAAAGTTTGTTGTAGAGGAAACAGTATAAATTTCTAATAACAAGCGAAATTAATTAAATACTTGATTAATGAACGTTATTGATGATTGTTGGCCACATATCGTGATCACACAGTAACGCGATTTAAGGTCAGAAGAATAAGAAATGTGACATGAGGTCAGAAGAATAGAGTGAGAACGCTGTCACTTAGCACTTTTACTCACAAACCAATGTGAGAGTGACTGCACATATGGCTTACACATTTAAGGGAGAAAAGGGGGAGGGGGAGAGATGAAAGGGCCCAAAATGTGTGTTCACGTGATTTTGAAGATGGTTTTATCGTAGGAGCGTTGGCCGAGCGGATTTCGGAGACTGTGTGTCATTGTTGCGGTGTAGTAAGCAAGGCAACTCCCACCCCCAAACTACTGGCATAGGATTGACTGCTGCAAGACGTAAGCCTTCTAACCCAGAACATAGGGCTGAGTTTAGGTGTTGTCATCCAGGTTACAGTAGCGGCGGCCACTCTTTTGCAATGTACCAACCAGGTACTTAATTATACCAACATATATCTTAAAGTTATTATATTCAATAAAAATACAATAAAAGCATTAAGGCCTCGTATTTAACTGGTCTATCTATTTGAGTCCAAACATGGTGTACATAACCTAACCTATTTCAACGGCAACCAGAAATGACAACTGTGGAGACTGCCGACCCTACTCCTCAGCCCTCACCTCTGTTCTGAGAATCCGGTAGCAAACGGCGGGAGACTCTGAAGGAATACTCAACGTCGGAAAATAGTTACCGAGTATTGAGAAATCAATATCAAGTCTTAATTAACGATAGCCCTTATTATTTAAATCATATTATTTTGCATTAGCAAACATTTTGATGTATTGTATATAGTCCGTAATTATTGATATTTTATTGGGTTGCCACTTCATCGCTAACACGTCACCAGGTCGCCTCCCGACGGAGCGTCGCTACAACTCTTCCCACGTGTAGATAAGAAGCCTCGCATGTCGTCTGTCAGAGCGAATGGTTCGGGAAGACGTTATCAATCGAATGTTCCACTCCCTGATGTAGAGATTGGCCCATCCATGGATGTGTTGGCGTATCTTGAATGTGTCACTGGGCACATGCCATTCGCACAGATGACCCTCCAGGCATCACCGACGACTGCCTGCAAGCTAAGACATCATGTTTCCTCCTGCCACAGCATAGGAGAACGAGAGTTCAATGAACAAGTAGGGGGTACACCCGCAAACTGGAATGATACAAGTGTGAGCAACCTGCGACCAAACAGCAACTGAAACAGAGAAATTGTAAATTAGTACAGGCATGTCATTTTGAGACTTTGCTTAGTAAGAACAGGAAACTTGAGGTTGTAATAAACAGTAAACTAAACTTACATCGAATAAAATAATCAAAAATAAGAAATTGATGACAACAGATGACATCAAGTCGGAGAGAGAGTCGGTAATCTCACCAAACTCAAGAGTACAGTCACCATAGGGGCCTCTACTTCCACACTATCTAGATCATTAGCCTCTAGGTCATCGTCTTCATCAGGAACAATCATACTCTGAAGGAGTACTCAACGTCGGAAAATAGTTACCGAGTATTGAGAAATCAATATCAAGTCTTAATTAACGATAGCCCTTATTATTTAAATCATATTATTTT